ACAAATTTAATTGACACATTCTTTTCAATTATCCCTTCCCACAGAACCCCACTTCTGTTTGATTTTTTCAATATTCACATATAAACAGAAAGCGTTACATTTTTCTATTACACTGTTGTTTTCATCAGTATCTTCTGTGTAGTATTTACTGCTTTGATATTATTAGGTCTCCATCAGTATACAAAGGAACAAATAAAATATGGTACCCCATAATTTTAATGTCAGAACTTGAAAGACTACAATGGAGCATATAGTTATGGCAATGATGAAACTGTTCAAAATAAAATAAAAAAACTGTTTATATTTACCTTGTTACTTTCCTAAGTATATCTGAAAATCTTTGCAAAAGAAGTCAAAATGGTTAATCCTAGGATTTTTAAAATAAACCATTTTAATAATTTAATATATGTTATTGGTTCTATATTGATGCCAAACTTGAAAGCTGATACACTTTCCAAAGTTAAGAAAGATAATTAGACACACTAGGTTGTAAATCTTATGAAATATATTTTAGCAATGTAAACTTTATAAACCTTTGGGTTCACTGTATATTAAAACTCTAATAGAGAGAAGGAAATATTAATCAATGATAATGATTGTGAGAAAAATGTCATTATTCAAAAACAGTGAATTACCTCGGTATCAGGGTGCTTTCTAAATAAGGTTATTATGGGGGCAGCGCCATGGCTCACTTGGCTAATCCTCCACCTGTGGCGCCGGCATCCCATATGGGCACTGGGTTCTAGTCCCAGTTGCTTCTCTTCCAGTTCAGCTCTCTGCTGTGACCCAGGAAGGCAGTGGAGGATGGCCCAAGTGCTAGGCCCCTGCACCCGCATGGGAAACCAGGAAGAAGCACCTGGCTCCTGGTTTTAGATCGGCACAGCGCTGGCCATAGCGGCCATTTGGGGGGTGAACCAACAGAAGGAAGACCTTTCTCTCTGTCTCTCTCTCTCTCACACTATCTCTATCTGTCAAAAAAAAAAAAAATAAGGTTATTATGTTTAAGATATGCTGCATCGGCCGGCGCCGCAGCTCACTAGGCTAATCCTCCGCCTTGCGGCGCCAGCACACCGGGTTCTAGTCCTGGTAGGGGTGCCAGATTCTGTCCCGGTTGCCCCTCTTCCAGGCCAGCTCTCTGCTGTGGCCAGGGAGTGCAGTGGAGGATGGCCCAAGTCCTTGGACCCTGCACCCCATGGGAGACCAGGATAAGTACCTGGCTCCTGCCATCGGATCAGTGTGGTGTGCCGGCTGCAGCACGCTGGCCGTGGCGGCCATTGGAGAGTGAACCAACGGCAAAGACCTTTCTCTCTGTCTTTCTCTCTCACTGTCCACTCTGCCTGTCAAAAAAAAAAAAAAAAAGATATGCTGCATCATTTGTTGTCCTTCTCTATTTCTGAATGTATTTACAGTAAACTTAAGGAAATCTGTATACAAGCTACTTGTGTAAACCAATTTAATCACAATTCATAAATATGATCAAACAGCTAAATGTTACTAGAGACATGGAGATATATTTATGCTGAAAAAGAAACACCAACAGGAGCAGTCACAATAACACAAAGTATTTTTCAAAATAATTCAGAGAATTACTTATTTAAACTTTATCCTGTTAGCATGGCAACTAAGACTATGCATCTGCTCTACCTACCTCCATCTCCTAAGCCATGGCACACACACACATTCATCTCCTTTACAGAAGTCCAGTGCTCAGATTAGCAATTGAATGCTAGGAGTTCTACTTCCTAGAACATGTCAGCTAGTCAACCATCATGACTGCTGCTATACAGAAAAGTGAATCCTTACCACCATCAATGAGATGAGTGGCAAGGAACATGCCTCCAAAGCAGTGTTTGAAGACCCGAAGCCCACAGTTATTGAAAAAAAATTGCATAAGAACATACCAGTCATTCTTCTGCACTAGACAGTAAATTACTGGAAAGAAAAAGTTGACCAACAACTGTGTCCAGGAGCACTCAATCATTAGCAGGTAAATTTTTGATGAGTAATTGTTAGACAGAATTCACAAGCTCATTACTGAGTGCAAAGATCTATTTTACTATTATTATTATTATTACTTTAGTTTCTACATCTTTGGTGAAGAACGTATTCTGGATTTATCTCCTGCTTAAAGATTGTCTCTGTCAAACTAGGTAAGAAGTCTAAACTCACATTCTCTATTCCTAAACCCCACAGCTGTAACTGAACTCCTTTCCCCTATATACTCTATCCTTAACACACATTATCCTGGGTCAGGAAGATTGTGCTTTCCTACTAAAAATTAGTATACAGACTCAACATCTAGTGTCAAGGCTACATTGTTTCACACCTTTTTAAAAAAATCACACAACTGCCTTCCTCAGATCTGAAAATACTTTGAATGCACAAATGTCAGAACTTCAAGCAAACTATAAACATAGTCCTATGTACAGTTCCCACCAACCTCACAAACTATAGTCATTCTGATTACAAAGCTCATGGTAAATGGCTTCCTAGAGCAGAAATTGTAATGAAGCAAACCATATTATGTAATATGACACTCACTATGAATTATGAAATGAAATCTTACTCTTGCCACATTGTGTATCATAGTATTGTGGTTTACTGTCCTGCCCTTCCCATCTTTTTTTAAAAAAGATAGCATTTATTTATATGTTGATATCCTCACTGGCTTCTAGTTTAGGATTAATAACCAAGTCCCTCTGGGATTCCTAATGGAGACTTGGCCAATATACACCACTGCTGATTACAAGACTCCCCTGATCATAAATTTACCCCCATTGTATTCCAATCAAGCCTTTAAACATGAGTAATAGGTTGGAGGAAGGACAGTGAAGGGGACTGACTATTTAAGAACTGATTCGCTAAGAGATATATAATGAGCAATTTTGTGTGTGTGGGTTCTGTCAATAGAAAGAGTGAGGAAGAATATCATCAGTTATTTCTTTCTGTCCCACAGCTTGTCACACCCAAAGAACTGAATCTCTACAGTAAAACCTTCGATATGTTGGACTCACTTTTATCCATCATTGTCTTATTTTTCCGCTGTCTTATGAAAGTTTTATATAATGTCTCTGAAATTAAAGTTTTTATAAGGAAAAGACATAATTAGTAATCTCAGCATGTTCAACTAGATATTGCAGCCATAAAACTAGAGAAAGTCATAATGAAAAAATATAAGGAAAATACATCTTAAAATTAAAAATATGAAAATTGAAATGCAAAATTAAGTAGGAGGGAAACATAAGATAAACATAGATGAAGAAAAAATCATCCATTTTCAGCAAATCCAAGGAAATATCTAAACTTTTAATGAGGGTTTATTAGCCCCTATTAAGTAGGGTAAGCACATTGCCTTCCTATGTTAAATTTGAAGAGCCTAGAGCTCAATTCTTATTTAGGAGATATTCAATAAATATTTGTTCATATATTAATGAATTAATGAAGAGTTATAAAGCAAAAAGACAAGAATTATGTAAATTATTAATGTGAGGAGATACAGAGAGTTAATGAAAGAAAGACAATATCTAAGGTATTTTAGAAATGAAGACATAAAGAAAATGTGGGGATGAGAAATTATTTTTGTTAAATTATTTTCTTGAGATACAGGAAAATGGAACTGCTGAAACAAAGAAAATGCTACTTGGTGCAAAAAATATTATTTTAACTCATATACACACATATATATATCCTGGTAGATTTTCAATACAACTAATAAACATATATGCTTAAAATCTTCAGGGAATAAATATAGATTACCAACCAAGGAAGGAGAATCTGAATTGCATGAAACTTCTAATTAACTACAATGAAAGCAGGGAGACAATGAATTGGCATCTCCTTGGAATTTCCAGAGGAAAATTAGTTTGAACCTGGAATTCTATACACAACCAAAATATCAATCAAATTTGAAGATAAATTAGAAACATTTTCATATACTCAAGATTAAGAATTATCTATTTGAAGTCATCCTTCAAAAAATAGTTACCTGAATTTGTATTCCTGTGAGGTAAAAAAAAAAAAATTCAAGAAACAGAATCATACTGCATTTGTTGGACTTATGCAATAAAATTCCTGTGTAATCAATACAAATGAAAACAAGAAAGTCTCTATAAAAATGTCCTTAAAGAGGAAATGGATTCTATTCAAAATCAGTATGATTACTATCTTGAAGCCATTACAAATATTACCAAACTTAAGGAGTATTTTGGTGCCAGCAATAACAAAGACACAGAAACTAGAGTACAAAAAGCTGTGTAAGGATCCCAAAGATCACATAGTGAGCACACAAAAATATAATAAGATTTTGAACATTAACAACTTGGAATAGTCTCTTTATTTGATACAGCTTCAATTATTAAGGATTATATCCCCTTGTCAATGAGTCTCCTTCAAATACTTTGACTGAAATCACAACTATATGTCTTAGTATTGTTTATGCATAATAGTAACTAAATTTACATAAGGCTAATGTTCTATGAGATTGATCTGATTTTATTTATGAAAATCAGCCCTCAATGAAAATGCAGGAGAAAATATAAAATGAAAAAATGTATAGAACTTGAGCTTACAATATAAAATAATGACATGGCTTACAAGATTTAGCAAATAGAAATGACAAGGAAAATTAAAGAAAAATGCACCTGCACAAATTTCCTAACACTTACAATATGAAGAAAAAAGATAGTGTTCAATTCCATAAATCAAAAAACATTTATTGAGTAGTATTATTTAAAGTCTTAAATATAATACTAAAAATCATAATAATATAAACAATAAACATTGGGTACTGGAATTTGGGAAATTGGATGTTAGTGTGATGATCTAAACTCTATTTTCCTCACAGGAAGTTAAAAGTTGATAAATCATGAAAGAGAAATAAA